ACACATTCCTTTCTTTAATCTCTGTGATTCCTGGCCACTCTTCTCAGTATATCTGGCTAATCCTCCTGATATTTCTGAGTCATAAATGAACCCAGAATATATGACCAGGGAAAATTCAGCTAGGAATGTAGTTCTGCACTGTTTTTTACATAAAAGATTTTCTTGTATTGATATAGAAATGAGCAGATGTCTGATAACCTTCTGCCAACCTGGAATTTTTTGCTTACTCCAGGGAGTTCTTAGGGGCTGATGTTTTATAGGGTTTACGCCGTCCATTCAAAAATTCTGTCACAGACCTCAAAAGGATCTAGGACAGCCCCCAACTGTGAGATTTGTTCTGTGGTACCTATTTCTGGCTTGGTACCTCAACTGTGAATAGAACAAGAAAGATGCTCTTGCCGATGGATATGAAATGATTTTACATTTCATGGGGATGCTACAATGGGTAAAAGGACTGATTTCACTTAAAATCCCAAGACTTTAAAAACCACATTAATTTTATCTGACCATTTTCACTTACTAGCCCTAGAAAAGAAATAAACCCAGTAAGTAAATCCTTTTTTTTTTTTTTAACTGACTGAAGTGATACAAGTCAATCCAAATGATTTACAGTCTGCACCAAGTAAAAAACTTGACTCACTCAGGTGTTGCTATTTGAAAGGCTGATGCAACGCATCAAGGAGGGCTTGGTAACCCACTCCAGTATTCTTGCCTGGAGAATCCCATGGACTGTAGCCCACCAGGCTCTTCTCTTCGTGGGGCTGCAAAGAGTTGGACATTGCTGAGCAACTAAGCCCAGCACCTGCAGGGCATCATTAAGAGTCACGTAAGCTCACAGTTGCCCCTTCTACATCCCCAGGTCTAAACCTGCCTCTACTCTTTTCTCTTCCCAGAAACCACAAACTCAGTGCATGGGAAACCAAACCCACTAGCATCTTTCTTCTGAAAAGAAGAAAATGTCAAGAGTTTATTGAGGGAGGACCCTTTCGTAACTGCCTTCAGGGTACGCTGCTTGATTGTTTGTATTTTGTATTCTAATTTGCATTGCAAGTCCTTGAGACCATAAATTTGATTTCCAGCTTCTTCAATGCCCTCCAAGTCCAGGATATATTCTCTTAGGTCATTCTTGTTAGTATTTTAATACTGTTTAGAACTTCTAAAGAAAGAAGGAAGTTCTAATGCTGCTTCCAGACTTCCTGCTACCCTGGAAGAGCAAGACTCAGTGGCATACAAGGAAGACCACAGGCTTCATATTCCATCAAATCTCAGTGCAGCGATGAGTAAGCTGAGAGAGGTTGGGAAAGTTACTAAACTTCTTTGGAAATCATTTGGCTCATTTACAGCATCCAGATAATACTTGATGCCTACAGTTATTCAGTGAGACACTATTTGTAAAGAGTATGCCACACAGCAGGTGCTGAATGAATTGTATTGTATTGCATGCATGCTCAGTCTTTTGTGGACTGTGCGGACTCTTTGGGCCGTAGCCCACCAGGCTCCTCTCTATCTGTAGGATTTTTCTTCTGAGTTCCTTTCAAATCTGTCTCGCCTCCCATTTCCTGCCTCAGTTAACACTACCCACCCCACCCCGTTACCTAAGCTAGAAACCTCCAAGTCCTGTCACCGTCTGCCAAGAAGCCTCATTCTCCAGTGGTCACATGACTAGTACTGAACCTGCTCAGAACTGGGTGTCCAGACTTCAGGCCACCAGAGTGAGTGTCTAACTCTTGGGACCAGCCTGACAGCCCTGCATGGGCTCACCAGCACTTCACCTCCCCTTCTTAACCAGCTGTTTCAGAGACAAAACTGGGGGACTTCGGCAGCGCATGCTCTCTACCAATGGGCTCAATGTGACAATCTGGATGGCAGTATGGTATTTGGGAAAAGTATTGACCGAGGCAGATATTGAAAGTGGATATTTTGTAAGAAGAGCCCTAAATTCGGTGAAACATAAATCCCATACAATCTTGTCTAGTTAATAATCATAAACATTCCCGTCTTTCTCTGAAGAATGTAAGCACTTTTCAAAACCTTATCGAAAATAATTTTTTGACAGTCTAATCATTTGAAAGGTCACCTACAGTCTGAATCATTTTTTTTCCTTTACACCAAGGAAAAAATAGGAAAGTTAAAAATACAGAGAAAAACTGATTTACTCACTGTCACAAAATAAATCAGTGATAGAGAAAGAACCGAAGCCAACTCTACTCTAAAATAGTAAGGTTCTTGGATATGCTATTCTGCCTTTCACTTTAAAATGCTTACCTAGCAGACTTTTCATACCACCTCATAGAATGTAGTACTCTATGAAAGAAATGAGTCCCCATGTACAGCTAAAAATCTTGTGAATTATGAACATGTTTGCTAATTACCCCTCAAAAACATGCCTTTATCTTTCAGACCCTTACTCTTCAGGGCAAACTACTTGTTGGAGTCACAATGACATCTCTTGTTCTAATGAAAATTAACTCCTTCTGTGCCGGAGGGTGATAGAGGTCCACATTTCGCTCATAAATCTGGCTCTGGGAAGAAGAAAGGCCTTGTGTCAGAGTTACATGGGCCTCCATCCATGATGCTTGAGAAAACACAATATTTGTTTGGTTAAAATACTGCAAATTTCAAAGGTGTAATGGAAATATTACCTAGTCTGAGGGTACCAATATTTTAAAAAGGAAAAAAAACCCTAAAATGACTATTCCCAGAGACAGCCAGAGGATTTGTATTTAAAATCCTGGCCCCATACCTCTTTACTAACACTGAGGTCATCTGAGTAACACTTGCTTCTGGCTGAGTCGTGTGCTCTCCTTTGCACTAAATGTCGTATTTCACTGTGCCATATCACATCTAAAACTGCAAGCAAATTCATGTGTGCACTTAAAGTGACCCCATGTGACTGCCCCCAAGACTGATAGCTCTCTTCCTGATGTACCTGGATCATTGTAAGTTGGTGTAGAGCATTGAGGGTCCCCAGATCCAACGTTTCTTCTGTAACTTTCACTGACAATGTCATCAGTTTGCCAGCATCAATTTTATTTCATCATGTAAATAAAACTGGCACATATATCAAGCTGCCTTTTATTGCACTGAGAATGATTTTTCCAGGCTGCTTCAACAAAACCAAAAATCTGCTTTGTCACATGACTCCACAAAATATGATGGATGCATTTAAGTTTCAACATTTGTTTCTTCTTCCTATAGATTTCCTTTCCTCCCACCACTTTTATAAAAAGAGTATATTGTAATTTACCTTTGCACACAAGGAGCATGCAACAACACAAAGAAGCTACTGTAAGAACAGGTCTGCAAGAATGTTCTAGAATAAATTGGTAGGCTGTAACTTAGTAGGATTGCCAAAAATCAGATACTATATATCTTTAAGAACCAAAGCTCTTAATAATTTACCAGCTGGTCCAGTCTGGTTATACAATCTTCTAGCACCCCATACTCATCCTCTGTTGTACTCACCACAGATGGAAATAAATTAGGAGTTGTGCATTTTGTGGTCAACATCTCTATCCTCCATGAGAATACAAGCTCCATGTGGACAAGGACTGCAGGTACCTGTTATTTTATTGCTGTGCCTAACACAGTTCCTTGAATGCAGTAAAAAAAATCAAAGAATACTGATAAACGATCACAAGAGTAAATAAATCTGTTAGTGAAGAGCCGGTGTTAAATCAGAGGATAGGGCTTACAAGAGTGAAATAAGCTTTTAGAGTCCCTGAGATTTATTCTTAGGGGTGTCCTGACAGATTTATTATCAAACTACAAAAATGGCATACTGACAACAATCTACAAGTTAATTATTCTAGAGATAAATTCGGGATTCATAAAACCAATTCTCTTGGTGGCAATTTTCCACGTTTAAAATTTTACAACTTCTGTGGGTATTTGTTTAATTTAACCCTTGCATATGAAAACATCAGTGTGTGTGTTTGGATAAGCAGAAATGGCCAGCAGATGCATTTATTCCTAAACTCCACGACTCAGAATCACAACGCTTTACTTCAAAAGTCACAGAACTATAAATCAGAAAATACCACTGAACACTGTCAGAATTCTCTACAGCAGTTCACGCTGTTTTCTTGATATTTCTCTCTAACCACTGATAAAAGCCCTTTGAAGTGAAAGAGTAAATATTTTCATCTGATAGTACTTAGGCCCAACAGTGCAAATACAATCGCATTGTGGTACCCTCTGGGGTCTGGACACACACGCCGCTGGCAAGGTTGCCATGGAGCAGCCGACGTGCTCCGCGCTGGAGCAGACAGAAGGCAGCCGCGCTCAGAGAAGCGCCTCACCCCCTAGTCTTCCTCTGACAGCCACACAGAGGCCGGGGGAAAGCTGGCCTTCCAGTGTGTGTTTCTGTTTGGTAACCCTGGAAAGGAAGGGCCACAAATAGGCAATGGGAAATGCCAATTCCTAAATATCAGCCTGCTTTTACTACTCCCACCGACACTCTTGTAAAGGATCACGAATGGCGGTGGGGAGAAAAATCTAATGAGGGCTGGGGAGCGGGGGGAGGGGGACATTGGGGGGGGGTGGTAAGGAGGCAGGGGGCTGGGCGCCGAATCCCAGCAGCTGGTGTCAGTATGTCCCCGGCCTAACACGCGGCTAAGGTCTGTGGACACGCGGGGGACGAGGGTCTCGGGGAGAGGTGGCACTGCGCGGGTCCATCCGGATAGCTGGGCGGGTGCTGGGGGCACAGAAAGGGTGCTCTGGGAAGTGGAGGGAGGCAGGAAGGATAACCTGGGCAACCCAGCTGGACAGCTGAGGCCTGGAACCGCGCACGCACCATTCAAGCAATGTGCCCGAGGAAGGTCTGGCGGCATAAACCTAGGGATCGCCCCCCGAGGCCTGGAGCTGCCCATGCGGAGCCAAGACCCGTCTGCAACTAAGCATCGCGTGGCGCTGCAGGACCCCCACCCCCGCCCCCGGCCGCGGCGAGGCGCGCGCAGCGGTGGCCCGCCCAGCCGCGTCCCGTCCCCGGCGGCGCTCACCTTGCCGGGGAAGGGCCCGGGGAGGAGCAGCTTCAGAGCCTGCCTCTTCAGCTCCACCAGGCGGGCGTTGCAATTCTCGCACCAGACGCCGCGGTCTGATCCGGGGGAGGAGCCGCCGCCGCTGCCCGAGCCCGGGGAGCCCGTGCCGAAGCCTGGCGAGCCGCCAAGGGAGCCCGGCGAGCTGGTGCCAATGCCCGGGGAGGCGGGGCCCGGGGAGCCCGTGAAGGAGCTCGGGGACGAAGTACCTGAGCCCGGGGACGGGGTCCCAGACGAGCCGAGCGCCGAGCCCGCGCCCTCGGGGGTGGGCCGGCTCCCGGCGCGGGACTCTTCGTATGCTTTCCGGTACCAGCTCTCGGGGGAGAAGGGCGCCGCGGGCTTGGTGGGCGAGCAGACTTCATTCACCTGCAGGGGAGACACGCGGGTGTCAGGGGCCGCCGGGCTCCCGCGCCCCGGCCCAGGGCCACCCTCCGGCCTGCCCGGGGATCTGCGTTCCATCGAAGGCGCCGGCCCAGCGCCAATAGGGGCGCGTTCGGGACCGCTCCGGGTCCTGCGGCCAAATCTGCCTCCATCTGTCTGGTTAATTGTCTTTAAGTGAATCCTCGTCGCCCCGGCGTCCCCTGCGCCGGTTCCCGGGCGCCGGCGGACTCCTCCGATCTGGAGGATAGGGACTCGCTCGCTCAGGGAATTTCAATGGTTTCTGCAGAGGAACCCACCGATTCAGCTCCCCGCGCTTTTGAACCCGGCACCCATCCCAGAAGGAGCCCACGTTTAAGATTCTGGAAGACTATTGGGGGGCGGGGGTGACTGTGATTTTTGGATTTGTATTAATTCGGGGTACAGCCCTCCGGATCCTGAAGGTAAATGAAAGGTTTTCCTGATTCCAGGGGAACGATCCCTAAGAGCTGCGGAGATTTCGTGGGAAACCCTCCCATTCGACTTAACTCTGTTTGGAAGTCAGGAATGCTGCAAAAGTTAGGGATGATGGGAAGAGGAGGAACGAGAGGGCTGCAAAAATTCCGAGGGCAAGGCGAGTGTGAGGGCGTCCCCGCGGGCAGACCCGCCTCCGCGCGCGCACGCCTGGCTGGCCCGGCCGAGGCGCCGCTACAGCCGGAGGAGAGCTCGGAGCCGCCCTGCCCCGGCCGCACGTTACCCAGAAAGGGAGAGCCGGGTCGGGAAAGAGTCTGGTAACACATCTCTGCATTAGACCCGTCACAACTTACCCCGTATTTCTTGCCCCTGGTGGAGACTGCAAGCCTCTCTTTATTCCCAGCTATCGAATTCATGGTGGCTTTTCCAGAGGAGAGTGTCTAAATGTTCCACCAACGCTACATCCAAAAGGTCTTCCAACCCAGAAGGATGCCCAGTGGTAGGGGGCTGTCTCTTGGCCCTCAAGTCAAGGTTTCTTAATGGAGGGGTTGGGGGGATAAAAGCAGATGGACCCCAGAAGTAACAGCACTAATTTGCAGAAGGGTTGGAGTGCCTGGTTTATTCTTCTCTTCAAATAATGCTTTTCCTCCTCTTCTGCTTCCTCCAGTCCCACGTTCTCTTTTCACGGTCACATCCAGATAATTGGCATTTTCCTTAGCCTAGTGAGTCCGTTTTCCTCCACGAGGGAAAAGACGAGTACAATCGGGGCACACGGCAGCTGCCGAGGAGGTGGGCGAGACCCCCGCCTCGCCTACCGCCAGCGAACCGGCTGTGGGAACTTGCCTCCTTTCGCGGAGCTTGGTAACTGAGTTCAAAGAAATTCTCCCAAAATATAAAGATCCAGATCGGGGAGGAGCCTCGGCGTGAGGGGGAGCCAATATCCGCCGTCCCGCTTTGCCTGACAGTTGCGCGAGGGCAGAGAGGGGCGGCGGTGTGGCCCGGCCGGCGTCCGCGGTCAGGGCGCGCGTGTGCGCCCAGGCGCAGCGCGGAGCCTTGCGAACCGCGGCCCCGCCGGGGAGCCCGCCGCCTGGCTGCCGCCGCCGCCGCGCCAGCCGGGATCCATTTTATGTTGCGGCTCTCCTGCCTGACATTCCGAGGCCGAGAGCCGGGGGAGGGGGTCGTAAATCTCGCGCGGTGCGGGGAAGTTGCTGGTGAGTGGCCCGGGTCCAGGGCTCTAATGAAACAGCACTGCGCGAGACTGGAGCTGGGGGCAGAGCCGAGCGAGCGCAGCCGGACAGAAACGCGCCCGAGCTTCCCCGCCCCCAAGTTCTTTCTCTTCCTGGCAAGGCTTGCAGTTCTGCCTTTGAAACGCCGTGAAAGAGGGATTGAGTCACAAACAAGTCCACAAATATGCCGAGTCCTCCCCCCGCCCTTTGTTCTCCTAGACCTGCCCTGCAAACCTTTTCTGGAATTGCCCTCCTAAGCCTGGCCGGCCGGGGGGCCACCCTCCCAAGTGCAACGGGAGAACAGGGCCTTCGCCCCAGCCCGCCCGCGACCCAGTGTGCGCTCTGCCTCGCCGCCCAGGGCTGGGACGCACGAGCCGGGGGAGCCAGCGGGCAGCCGCCCGGCAGGGAAACTGAGGGACGGCGCGGGCCTGGAAGGGGGGTGTGTGCGAGCTGGCCTTGGCCTCGCCTCGGTCGGGGGTCCCTTCGGCACCCGATCCCGGCTCTTCCAGCAGCCAGGGTCCACCGGGTCCCGGGAGCACCCGGTCGTCGCCCTCTCCAGTCCCCCTCCGGCCCCCGGCGCAGAGCCCAGAGCCCAGGAAGCCGGCATTTGCCGGGCTCCACACGTAGCTGCTCCAGGGTGTCATTTTTCATCTCCAGAGAGGACAAATCTTCTAGAGAGCCCGCAGGTCTGTTTTGTTGTGACCTTTAATTAACACCCCGCGAGACGCCTCTTGAAGGACCGGCCCCGCGCGGGTATCACGTGAGGTGTAATGGCATCTCCGCGCCCGGGAGGTACCCGGCCTGGGGGCAGGCGAGGGTGCAAAGGACGCCCGGGGCTTTCCAGTCTCTAGCTTCCCTCTGAGATACGGAGGGGGCAGGAAGACAATATCCTAGGGTGCTGGAACCCTGTGGAAGTGGCAACGCCCCCCACACCTGCTTTCCTCGGGGGAAAATTCCTTCGTGCATCCCTCGCGCTGCCATCCACCACCCTCCCCGCCCCCCGCCCTTCCCACGGCAGCCCTTGCGTGGGAATGTTTCACAACCACCACAGCGAGGTAAGAAGGTAAAAATGTAGATGTCGAAAACAGTGTGGAAGTTTCCATTACGTTCTTACTTCCATTTAAAAGTGGTCATATCAAGAGAAGACCTTATGGGGCAGGCACACCTCCGGGCAACTGCCTGCTTCCGTCCATATCTGTATTCCGCGCAGGTGCTGAGGGAAATAACATCGCCATTAGCTACGCACTGCTCATCTGCCGAAAAGCAGCTCGTGGCCTGGTGAAACGGACTAGCCCGTGAGCCGCGGGTGGGGAAGGTGAGGTGTCGAGGGAGAGTACCGGGGAGCTGGGAGATTCACCTTGGAGACGGAGGAGACCAGAGGTGGTCTAATTTGCATCCCAGAGTAGCTGGGACTCAGAAGCGTGTTTGGTGAGCTGTGAGCGCCCTCTGTTGATCAAAGTTTGTAACAAGAAACCCCGCAAGAGTTTGATATGAGGCTTTAAAAAAATGGATGTAAAATTTACATACCGTGAAATGCACAATTTTTATGTGTATAGTCTATTAATTTTGATAAATGTACACTCCCAGGTAAGGCACCACCTCAATCAAGTTATATATCTCCATCACTCCAGAAAGTTCATACCTGTGCCTTCCCGGGTGATTCCAGTCTGTCATGTAAAATCACAGTTCTGATTTCTGTTGTATCACCATGGATTAGTTTTACCTGACTGCGAAGTTTTTGAGCTACATGTTGTTGATAGTATGGGTCTGTTTTCTGTGTGTACTCTGTTTTTCATTCCTGTCTCTCCAGCCTTCTTTTTGTTGATTGAATTGTTTAGTATTCCGCTTTCACCCCTCTATTAGCCTTTTAACTGTTCAGTTCAGTCACTCAGTCGTGTCGGACTCTGCGACGCCATGGACTGCAGCACCCCAGGCCTCCCTGTCCATCAGTAACTCCCAGAGCTTGCTCAAACTCATGTCCATCGAGTTGGCGATGCCATCCAGCCACCTTATTCTCTGTCCTTCCCTTCTCCTCCTGCCTTCAATCTTTCCCAGCATCAGGGTCTTTTCCACTGAGTCAGTTCTTTCCGTCCAAAGTATTGGAGTTTCAACTTCAACATCAGTCCTTCCAATGAACACTCAGGACTGATCTCCTTCAGGATGGACTGGTTGGATCTCCTTGCAGTTCAAAGGACTCTCAAGAGTCTTCTCAACACCCCAGTTCAAAAGCATCAGTTCTTTAGTGCTCAGCCTTCTTTAGAGTCCAACTCTCACATCCATACATGACTACTGGAAAAACTTTGACTAGAGGGACTATTGTTGGCAAAGTAATGTCTCTGCTTTTTAATACGCTTTCTAGGTTGGTCATAGCTTTTCTTCCAAGGCTTTTAATTTTTAATTTTTTTAATCTTTTAATTTCATGACTGCAGTCACCATCTGCAGCAATTTTGAAGCCCAAGAAAATAGTTTGTCACTGTTTGCACTGTTTCCCCATCTATTTGCCATGAAGTGATGGGACTGGATGCCATGATCTTAGTTTTCTGAATGCTGAGTTTTAAGCCAGCTTTTTCACTCTCCTCTCTCACTTTCATCAAGAGGCTCTTCTGTAAGGATTATAATATGCATCTTCAACTTGGGCTACTTAATTTTGTGCCCTTGTGTAAGAAATTTGCAACAGTATAATTCCATTTTACCTCCCTCCTTTATGCTACTATTTGTTGTATTTTATATCCATATACATTGTAAAATCCATAATACCATAGTCTCCATTTTACTTTAAACAACTTGTCTTTTGGTGAAGCTAGAACATTTTAAAATATGTGGGTTTTTTTTTTAATTAATTGGGTGATTCTGGTGGCTTAGAGGGTAAAGAATCTGCCTGTCATGCAGGAGAACCAGGTTCGAGCCCTCGGTTGGGAAGATCCCCTGGAGAGAGGCATGGCAACCCACTCCAGTATTCTTGCCTGGAAAATCAGATGGACAGAGGAGCCTGGAGGGCAGGCTACAGTCCATGCGGTCACAAAGATCAGACACGACTGAGTCACTAACACACACACACACAATTTATTTATTTGGCTGCTGTTGGTTCTTAGTTGAAGCACAAGTGGGATCATCCTTGCTTCATGAGGGATCTTTTATTGTGGTTCCCCAGCTCCCTTGCAGCTTGTGGAATCTTAATTTCCAGGCCAGAGATTGAACCAGAGTCCCCTGCATTACAAGGTGGATTCTTAACCACTTGACCACCAGGGAAGTCCCTGGGGGGGGGGGGGGGTTGTTGGTTGTTTTTTTTTTCCTTTTTATATTTACCCAGTTTTATATTTGGAAGACTGATAAAATTTTTTTCCCTAGAGAGCCAGCTTTTCAACTAGGTCATTTCCCTTCAGACTGAAGAATTTCCTTTAACATTTCTTGTACCAAGAGTCTAGTGGTGACGGATTCCCTCAGCTTTTGCTTATCTGTCTTTTTTTCACTTTTGAGTCTGAAGAACAGTTTAACTGTATTTTGAATTTTTGGTTGACAGTTATTTTTCTTTCCACCCTTTAAAGATGTCATTCATTGACTTCTGCCCTTGCTTGCTTCTGATTAGAAGCTAACATTAACTCTCATGGGAATTCTCACGCGCGCGTGCGTGTGTGTGTGTGTGTGTGTGTGTATAATATGCCCTTTTTCTCTGGATGTTTTGAAGATTTTTCTCTCTACAGTTGGGTTTTCAGCAGTTTGGTTATAATGCTCCTGGCTGTGGTTCTTGCTGTATTTATCCTGCTTAGGGTTTGCTGAATTTCTAAGACCTATAATTTGATCTGTAAATTTTTCAGCAAGTTTGGGGAAATTTCAGTCATTATTTACTGAATTTTTCTAGACCCATTCTCTCTTTTCTGTCCTTTTGGGACTCCAATTACATGTATATTAGTACACTATTTAAATTGTCCCATGAGTTACCAAGGCTCTGTAATTATTTCAGCCTTTACCCTTTTATTCTTCAGATTGGATAATTTCTATTGATCCTTTATTAAGTTCACTGACATCTACCTCTGCTATCTCCAATCTCTGTCAAACCTATTCAGTGAATTCTTCATTTCCGATATTGTACTTTTCAATATATACATATATAGTTTCCCTTTAAATCTGTGGACATAGTTATAACGACCGCTTTAATTTTCTTGCCTGCTAATTCCAACATCTGGCTCATTTGGGGGTTACTTTCTATTAATTGTTTTTTCTCTTGACTCTGAATCACATCTTTCTGTGTATTTTCATAACCAGTAAATTTGAAGTGCAAGCTGGGTATTGTGGATATTACATCATAGAGATGCTAGATTCTATTACCTTCCTTTGAAAAGTACTGATTTTGTTCTAGCAGACAGTTAAGTTAGTGGTATGTGTGTGCATGCATGCATGCTCAATCGCTCAGTTGTCTCCAACTCTTTGCAACCCCACGGACTATAGCCTGCCAGGCTCCTCTGTCCGTGGGATTATCCAGGCAAAAATACTGGAGTGGGTTGCCATTTCCTCCTCCAAAAGATTGCCCCAACCCAGGGATTGAACCCAAGTCTCCTGTGTCTCCTGCATTGGCAGGCAGATTCTTTACCAGTGGGTCATCTTAAACTTATAAAGGCTTGGCTTTGTGCTTTTGTTAA